TAGCTTTTGCAAGTTTTAGTGAAACAGGTCATTTTGCTTACCAGGAAAGTGTGTTTCGTGCGAAAGCACAAGCTGAGTCGTCAACATTGGCAGCCATGAAGGCCTACGATCAGTTTGGACTCCATGTTTGGCTTACCGCCTGACCATAAAGACAGGACGGGGATCGTCTTCTTTGTAGAGAGACTGAGCAAGATGGTGCATTTAGCACCACGTAGCACCCAAGCTCTCAGAAAAAATGGCTGCCCTCTTGTTCCTGGATCACGTGTATCGACTACACGGGATGCCCGAGTCCATAGTATCGGACCGGGATCCGCGTTTTAAGTCGGGTTTTTGGCGACATGTGTTTGAGCTGCTGGGTAGCAAGCTCCACATGTCAACCGCTGATCATCCCCAGACCGATGGCCAAACAGAACGGGCCAATCGAGTCGTGGCGGATGTGTTGCGTACAATAGCGACTCCCAAAGAATGGAGCAAGCAATTGTCATTCGTGTAGCTCGCTATTAATTCAGTGTTCACGCCAGTACGGGTAAAACAACGTTTTACATCAACGGACTGCGTCATCCTCAACCGCCAGTCTCGTTTGTACGCAGCCCGAGTCTTAGTGGGGGAGGGCCACTCATTTCGCTCTGTGCGAATGCCAAAAAAGGCCAAGGTAGCCCTAGTGACACTGCTAGTCTAGCAGAGGTCACGGCACCTATAGGTGTCACAAAGGAGGCACGGCAAGAAATGCCAGTGCTCCTTGACGATGACAATATAGTGTTGTCAACAGCGTCGACCCATGAACGACCTTTTAGGCGAGCTGGATGCTAGAAGCGTGAGCGAAGCTCATCTCTTTGTGGATGAGCGATTAGCCATCATATTTAAAGTCCGTGACGAAATGGAAAGCGCACAGGCCAAGCAAAACTAATATGCGGACCAACATGGTCGCAAAAACAATGAACACTTTAGTGTTGGGGACAAAGTGCTATTAGGTACTGCTACCCTACTTACCCTACCTAAACATGCAATTTCTGTACTCCCTGGTGGTACTACTAAGCTATTGCCCCGATTCATTGAACCATTTGCGGTGGTTGAAGAAGTTGAAGACCTAAATTATAGGCTCACTCTCCCACCGTATATGAAGACGCACCCCGTATTTTACGTGGGTCGTCTGAAAGGGTATGTTGATCACATCGGTCTAACGAGACCGATGGTGACGTCGACTGTGAGTCGAGCGTCGCGTCCGATCAGGCGACGAGGAAGCCGAGAGGCTCCCCGTATACGAACGAGGTGATAGAGAACTCGGCGATCGAGGAGGACTTCGCGCTTGACGCGAATCTCTCATCACCAGTCGCTCTAAATTGTCCAAACGGGTCTTCAGGCGGTCATACCCCTGACGATCTTTCGTCCTCACATCGCGCAGATCCAAAGTCAGTCCTGCGACTGAACAGCAGCAGGGTAGGCAGCCGCGAGTAGTGGGGGGTAATCGCCGCTCCTATCGGGTGCCACCTGTGTTAGTAGATGCGGGTGGATACACACGCTTCCTAGTTGAAATGTTGTTGGCCCACCGCTATGCGAGGCAAAGGCTTCAGATCCTTGTCCAATGGAAGGGATATCCGAAGATCTTCGACTCTTGAAACCCAGTTGACGCGTTGCACGTCGACTTGCCTAGGCTGGTGGCTGCTTACGAGCATAATCTCCAGCTGCACTCGCTCAGCTAGGTTCTGATAGGCTAGCAGGGGAAGCGTAGCGAGAAGGAGTTGGGGGGTATGTTATTACCCAATATCTTCCTCGCACGTGTCATAACAAAGCTAATTCTCTGCGACCGCTGTTTCACTGCATCTACATGCGGTGTAACACGGCGCAGAACTCTGCTTCGTATTCGTCTGTTGTTTCATTCGAACGCAACACGACGTGGATAAGGAAAGCACGACGTAGTGCTTTGTCCTGCCGTTTCCATGATGGAAAGATGCTAAAAGTTTACTAGCGTCAATAGTGGCACGCCCTAGGAGCGTCGCACTATTACATCTCGAGCGTAACCACTCGGATTGTGGTGGCATTCGTAACAATCCACCACTCACGTAGACGCCCTCGTGATGGCGTGATAGTGAGGCCGACTTTTAAGTCGAAGGGGCTTTTGCTCACCCTCGCCTGAGTCTGACTCACCATTAGATGTAGGGTTAACCAAAGCCGGTTTTAAAATCGCCGACCTGCTATTGAGTCGCGGCTGTTTCTTTTATAGCAGCGCGCTCATTTGTGGTGGCTGCGCTTGTTGGCGCAGACGACGAGGCATGGACCTCACTGTCAGGAAGCATGAAAGCTTCCTGAATGCTGGGTGTCTCGAATGATGGGGACATATATCCCATCAGAGCACTGTGCTCATCACCACTTTGGGATGATGGAAATGAGGTGCTCTCATTGTAATCAACAATTAGAGACAAGTCTTCATCCGCACCAAACTAGGATGGGTCAGCGCTCTCTGCTGGAAGCTGACATTAAATGTCAGCGTTGCTACAGAGACACTTCGCGACGGATGCGTAATATCGCGGCGCGTGCGCTTGGTGTTGGTCTGCATGAGCGCCTTTGCAGGCGAACCATTAGCCTTTCCACGTTTCGGTGGCAACGTTTCTTTATTCGATTGTTTTACAAAATGTAAAAATGATCTTTAAGAGGGGGATGATGCAACGGGCCAATGGTCACACGGTTCATTACGTATATGTCACTTAACGGGGAGGTGTAAAAAGGTACATGGTACCTTAGGCCTCCCACTTAGGTGAGGCACATCAATGTGACCAACCCTCGTGAATGTGATATCCATGAGTGGATTTACATTCAACGGGGATGACGCCCAGTCCCAACTGGGCGTCATGGTGACGCTTCAGATAGACGTCACCTGCGAACTTAGATATTCGCACGCAAAGATACTCTTCTAGAAGAGACGCGTATTCAATCTTCGCATAATTAACCAATCAGTAGCTAGATTCATATTTAGTTGATTTATAGTAAATATAAGCCAGTCGTGAATCTACTAAACATCGCACACCGGCACGAGAAGCTGTATAAGCTTCTGCGTGTCGTAAGTGTAGCTCTTGTCTCAGCTGTTAGTTGCGCGGACCGCCCCAAAGCGACCGGAAATGGTTGGTACAGCGCTTCTTAACGCCGACCAACACCACCACCACCGCACGCGGAGGTAAGACGGTCTAACCGCTTCCTCGCGCTGCTTGAAGGTGTGCCCGCATAGTACGTGGCAGCTTAATTACGTAACGATCGTCTACAGAGGATGTGTGCCAAAGTGCATGTATCAGCTTCTTTTAAAGTGGCTGTGTACATTCGGACCGATAGTTATAACCTTCCTAGACATTGTCCTCTAAACCTAAGAAATATACTTAGGTCAACCTGATATTAAAAGGTTGTATGATGGGCCAATAAATTGTCGGCGTAGAATTCGCGCATCTACCTATTCGTCGGAGCGACGGACAGCATCAAAAAGCTATGCACAGGCGACAGCATCAAAAAGCTATGCACAGGCGACAGCATCAAAAAGCTATGCACAGGCACAGGCCAAATGTAGTATTGATAAAGCTGTTTATCGCAAAGAGAAAATCGACATTCGGTTCTTTTATACATCATTAGACCTATATATTTGGTCCGCGCGCACTTATCCGTCGGAACGAGGGTAAACACTTTCGTCACTTACTATCAAGTAAATATATTCCAATAGGCCACCAAAGGCGACATCGGATAGAGACGAGACCATACCGGAAGCTAGGTAACTAGTCATTTTACCTTGGGCGGAGAACTCCCTATCGTGGGATCAAATTGAACGGGGGGATGGCGGGGGGGGGGGCGGGTTCTCTTCGTTGCGTGCGCGACAGAAGGCAGCGCAGCGCGCGACTTGAATGACTGCGGTCCACAGGATATCCTAAGTGCGGACGATGGATCGAAATACCCAACTTATCAATTAGTTCGTACCCCCTCGGTCCTCCGCTTCGCCGACTCTCTCGCTAAGCTTTATATGGGTTCCACAAAGAAAACTTTCTTAAGACCACGATGATCTCACTGAGATCTAGTACCGGTTGTATATAAACAGAATCCCCGGACTAGATACTTTTCGTTTCTTAGTGGTGCGTCTGGGCAAATTTGAGCACGTTGGACCCCGAGCAAGCCGATTACCAGGTGAAGGCCGAAGATTACATCACAATGGATCGCTGACACTATTGCAGTGGTAGCAAGACTCCTAGTCAAGCACCCGCTGTCCCCTGCATTAAATTGCTCCAAGAGCAAGAGCAGCTAAGCCATCTGGTTTTAAAGTGGACACAAAACTAGCTTCGATCTACGGGCTCTTGTCGAAGGGGCCCGCTGTGAAGCTTGAGCCAGTAGAATGAGAAAGTGAGGCGTAAGAAGATTGTATACTGGTGCCAAGTAGATATAATAATAAAGGTGCGCCTTTCCCCTCTTTCTTAAAGTACTACTAACAAATAATCATTTCATTCATAATTCACTCTTCATTCGTGCCAACAATGACGGATTCACTCGTCGTGATAATTGTACGTGTTTTGGCCTCATTGGCTGCGTGTATATTATTTGCAAGTCTTTTACCGGACATTCAAGTCGTACATCGACAGAAAAGTACAGCGAGTATGCCCAGTGCACTCCCTATACTGTCCATGCTGGCCAATTGTGTCGCATGGGGACTTTATGGTGTACTTATTGATGACTATTTCCCATTAGTAGGTACTAATATTGTCGGATTAATACTTTCGCTTTTCTACCTTGTTGTATATTACTATTATACAACCAATAAGGGTAGTTTAAGTCTTGACATTCTCATAACGACTCTATTACTTCTTGGACTCGTGCTTTATCCGTTCATGGCAACTCATGACGGGGTCAAAGAGGAGACGATACATTATATTGTAGGATTTCTTACAGTCACCACTTCATTTATTATGTTTGGCTCGCCATTGATTCTAGTAAAAAGGGTGATTCGAGAACGGAACACGAATCTACTACCTCTGACTATGATCACCACTGGAGCAGTCACTTGTGCCTTATGGCTTGGATACGGTCTCCTACTTGAAGACGCCTTCATTATTGTTCCAAATGCAACAAATTTGCTTCTCAGCATCGTACAACTCGGACTCTTTTGCATTTACCCACGTGGTGTCGACTCTTCTACTCGTGACGACAAATTGAAATTGAAGAAGACTAGTGCAAAGTGTGACAATGACACAGAGGACAGTACGACGATACTCAAGACGGAAGACGAACTGAGTAGTTCGGATGAAGAATCGGATTGCAACGACTCCAGTGCACAGCAGGTGACTAAGCGTGAGACAACGATCGACGTGCTTTGAAATGAGCAAAGTGGCATCTTATACAGTCCATCCCCAGCTTGCAAGACTTTCGAGATGTTGCCGTGACGTTATCAAGTCCAAGCTTTTTATTACGCATCACGCGTTTTGTATAAAAGTCGAAGGAAATTTTACACAAGACCACTCGTCTTGTCATCCGTATACTGAATTTTATGCTTTGAGTGCTACAGGTTAGCTTTCGTCAGGGAGGTGATGATACTTTAATAGAAGCTGATGGCAAATTCAAGAGTTGTTTTCGGCTTGATTGCAAGTTTATCAAGAGTTTTGAAAAAAGCTGGCTATTGCATGCTTACATGATATGGTTTATCCCACGCATGGGCCCCAGCTGCACTTTTTAAGAAGGAACCGAAGTGCAACGTAGAGATGAATGGTGTGACGTTCCGTGTATTGGACAGTAAGGCTTTGCTGACAGAAGTCTATGACGGTACCAATATGTATACTGTGTGCTTTGGTGGACTTGAATGGTCCCGAGAAGCTTCGGGTTTTGATCAGTATGGACGCTACACCGATGCAACTCGCCGTAACGTATACGCTAATTTCTTCCATATCGCCATTACGTCGTTTGTGATAGAGGTGACGGTAGACTCGAAGGCAGTTGGCTCGTACAACGTGGGAACGATAAAGATTTGACACCAGTGAAGTTTGCAGAAACAAATCTGACACGTCTTCATACCCGTTCAGCACATCACTTGGCCTATGTCAAGACCACGGTCACCTGGGTTGTTGATGCCTCCGCCGATGTTCCGTTGTTGTCGATGGGTAAAATGGTTGCCTATGTCATTTCTCATGACTGCGAGTGCCAAGAGCAGAAGTGATGACAATTATCGCTTGTTGCACTCTTGGTACTCTAAAATTTGTGTGTTAAGCTCTTTGATGCAGCTGGTCCATGGATAATAACAAGGCGTTCGTCACGGAAACTTGGTGACGGATCTTCTATCTAGACGATCATTGGATCAGATAACCTTTTTTCCAACATATCTTCAACAGAATAGGCCTCATAGCATTACTTCGGCATCAATTCGCACCTGTTCAGCGTCGAGATGATATACCTACCACGTTGAGCTGAGGCCTACACTGAAAGTCCACTGGTTTTGCCGCAGAAAGCGGACACGTACACGAATCCTTGCTGGAGCTAGTCGTCAACTAGGTGTGAGTTGGACGATAAATCGAAGACAGGCTATCCAGAATTTCTATAACTTTTCACGGCAAAGCCAGATGCATGGCGGAGTTATGTAACGTAAAGAACTCCGTCAGTTGTCGGCAGCTGTGAAGCGTCAATGGCTACTTCAAAGTTTTGAGTTCGACAAGCGGTTCTGCTTCTGCAAGTCCTTCCGCTACTGCTCCTGCTTGCATCGACGAGCATTTCAGAATTTGCTTTACTAGGGCCTTCAGTATAAACTCAGCTTTCACCTCGACAAACTGCTGCTAGCTGTCCTTATCGAGCAGTGTTACATATCATGCTGTTGTTCTGCACGGTTCGAGCGCGAAAAGACAACCCTCATGTGAAGATACGAAGTTTGATGCTAGTCCAGGCTGGCGTCCTCACACCCATGATAGTTGTTTCACAAATAAACAGTCGCGGGTAAGAATATCAATGTTACCGCACTAAAAACTAAGCCGTTCGTCTTCATAGCTACGAGCGATGGCCAAGCAGAGGTTCATCTCGCCCTGTAACTTGGGCAAGCTGCTCCCATTGAGCCGGGGTAATGCTAATGATGCTCTGTGTCGACGCGGGTATATTAATCTCACCCATTCCCTCCTGATTTCCTATTATCACAACATAATTCGTCGTTTGTTAACATGACAGCAATCCACAATTGCCTCCATATTACTTACTCAGATATGGAAGCCCAGTATCATCGTCGATACCAATTTCAGCAGAGTTGTTACGCACAAGAAACGACGTGTCGAACAGGTTTTCAACCGTCTACGATACGATGCACGGTACCGCAACACAACACACACAACATGAAGAATCATTTTAGATTGCCAATTCCCCAATAAGGCTTGTACAATCTCACAAACTTGACTATAGCCCACGCACCTGAGTGAAACTCTTTGGATCAACCACCATGTCAAAAAGTGGTTGACGACATTCACGCTGAATCAACGTTGATTGCAAAATCTCTAACCGCCGAGCTTGTGCGTCCCTACGGTCTTTCTAAAATGTGCAAACCGCAAAACAATATTATCATCAGTTACAACAATTGAGTCAGCAAGCTACATAAAAAAGCAAGCTCTCCAACCTTGTTAGTATACTCCGTTGGCTGCGCTTCTTCAGCATTGGCATCTTCCTGAACTCGTCTCGACTTTTTCCTTTCCTTTCGCACCACCTGCGTATCCATCAGTCCAAACCTAACAAAACAATGCAAAAATGTAAACACCTCATCACATACCACCGGCTTTTATCAAAAAAAATACACCACTTACAAGAAACTACTTTCCGGAACAGATCGAAAACAAGCACCCGCCGCTTGTCCTAACGCGTTCCAGTCCAATTCTCCATTCTGCGACTCTATCGCATATGCATCATGTGTTGCTCGGATTAAATCCATTGTATCGTACTACAAAATAGTAAAAAGTAACGTTAGTCACCTCTGTAACTTATCAATAAAAAAAGCCCAAATATCCACGATCCCACTCTTCACAGAATATCCACTATCCACCAAATATCCAACTATTCATCATAAATCTACCATCTATCCAAAACAAACCTTAGTCAAATCGCTTGTACTTAAAGCTTGCGACTGTTTCGCAACCGCGACATTAAGTTCATCAAGATTACTGGCGTCCAAATTGGCTTCACGTGGGTAACAAACATTTGCATACATTTGATCCAATTCCTGTGTATGTGTATCAAACGTATCACTCGATAGTTTGGCCAAATCATTGGCATTTTCCTTGATACTTTGAAACAGTTCACGTTCTTTATATCGCACGTGACGTCGGTCCTTTTCTGTCAGCTGCGACTGCTCCAAGAACCCCTTACGGTTGCGTCTAGGCGGGGCGACATCTACGTTCATACTGCGCTGCGTCTTGGGCTCCTCGTCGCTGTCATCGCTCGGGGCACGACGTCGTTTGCCCATGGCGTGGATAATTGTACTTTTGGTCGTGAAAACATCCGAGATAATTTACTTAAGAGGTACTTATTATCTAAAGTTAAGTGTATATTGTCCGAGATAATTAAGCTGTTTTATTCTTAGAATATTAATATTGTAAAATAAATTAGTGGATGTCGAGGAGATGATATAATAAACAAGCTCATGCAGATACTTTTGAATGGATAGATGCTATATAGTCCCATTATGGTTAAGACCCCATGTATTGAACAGTTTACATATGGTCGGTCACGTTATGGTTGATTCATAGCATTGTGTCCTTGAGAATTATTTCAAACAGAATGATCCTCCGTCAATATTACATGCAAAGTAGTAAACGTCATTACGTAATAGTTAAATTCCTATCGCTCTGCTGCCAAGAAGTCAAAAGACATCGACAAAGAAGCTGCACAAAGCCTTTGTCACCATTGTCTTGTCTTGGAGCGTATTTACTTACAGGCAGGAGTGGAAGCACGCCAACCAACCACATTTTCCAGACACTGTTCGACGCTACCGTCGACGTCTTTTTTGTCCGTCCTAACGCCGCTATTGTTGTCCTTCGAACGCCACGCCAGTCTGTTACTGTTCCTGTTATTTCTGGGGATGTTCAATGCCAAGCTGATTACTCACGATGAGCCCAAAGTGTGTGGTCACTACAATTCCACTGCCAACGGTTCTCGATCATGTGTCACACTGTATCTCGGTTCTAAATTCAATTGACGTCCTTGTGACCTGTTGCTTGAACTCTGTCGGCGATCTATCGGGTAACTGCCGGATAAAATGCGCTCATTCGAGTAACTGCCTGCGTTCGAATAGCTGGTGCCCACCATACCGACCAGGTCACCCGAGCTGCTACGCGTGTGAACGGAAGCAAGGCCCATTCCTAACCTATCTGAGCTGCCGCTGTTAGCTGAGTTCTCGTACATGAGTTTCATTTCGTTATTCAAGCTTCCAGAGCTCCCAGATCGATGGTGATTGTAGGTATTCCTTGGAAATAGGGTCGGCGTGGGAACACTCGACCCAGTAACGTCACTGTGCTGGCGAGCGTGCTGCTGCTGGTAGTAAGTGGCATCGGCTAGATTGTCCTCATTTTCATTCAAGCGGTTTCGTGCCTTGCAGTAGCACGAAAGTACTGATACGACTGCCACCGTAAACAACAGCACGCCACAGCAAATAATTAACGCAATTTGCCACGTCTTCAGTCCTTTCTCATTGCCTATTCAAGCAAAATCATCCCCGCCAAACCATCAGAAAATTTGTCACTCAGCGTATCAGTACAAGCCCCCACCTGTTTTAGGAGCCGAGCTGCCAGCAGTTTCGCCTGCATTGGTATTGTCTAAGCCCGAGCTGCTAGATGTGCTCGGTGTAGTAGGAGATTTGCTCGGATCCGTGCTCGAAGAAGAAGGTGCTGTAGTCGCGTTCGACGAAGAGTCTGAAAAAAGAACAGAAGACGTAGTAATAGGCGCAACTGAAAGCATTAATATCCACAGCCACAAACCAAAGTAGCAGCATGCAATCAAACAAAAGTAAAAGCCTTGCCTGAGGGACGCCAGAAGCAACAAAGTCCGACCAAAAATCAAAGCACGTGCAAATCAATACCAAATATAAAGCAAGCGGTCAGAACGACATGGAAGTACTCTCCACTTTGCATCATCAATAAACTAGTTGTTCCAGTACCTGTGGTAGTACTTGTAGAGCTGGTCGAGCTTGGCGACGTAGTCGGCGTCGGCGTCGACGTCGTGGGATTAGTAGTAGTAGTTGAGCTGGGTGAGGTCGGTGGCTTGCTCAAAGTTGGATCCGGAGAGCGCGTGCAATCCCCACAGTCTGTTCCGTACGTGCACGTGCCGTCACTGTTAACAGCATAGCCGATGATAGCTCCGTTCGCCTCGTCGTAGCACTGACCACAGCTACAGCCTCCATCTCCCGCGCGTGTGGCCTTCGAGCCACTACAACTGCATCCAGCGGCACCTCCCGGTCCAAATCCCGTTAACTCGGTCGTGTAGCAGATTTCAGCACATTGTGCTGCCTCCCCTAAAGAAGTATCACGAAAACAAATATAGTAAATAGTTCAGTAGCTAGAGACGTACTCTAAAGCCAATAGGGGGGGGGGCTATACCTTGACAGAACCACATAGAGGATGCAGCCAAGACAGTGAGGATGACATACGAGCTCATAATTTCCAGATTCTAATCAGGTTTTACGAATGACTTTCTTGTGCTAGAAAACAAGAAACACCCCCAAAGGTTAAACACCACCGAGGTAGATAGTGAAGAAAAAGAGCGTGCTCGAGGCTAGTGGCTTTCCTAAAGCCGTCTCCTCTATGTATAAGGGTGTACTATCCTACATGAGGGCACTGGTCACAAAGAGACGACAAAAGAGGTGTCAAAAATTTCACTACTAAAAAACTTAATAGTTGTTGAGATATATGAAAGAATTTCTAAAGGTTGTCGGTCTCAAGTATAGGGGGTGAAGCAATAGTTATGGATAGTAAGAAAATAAGTACACGAAGGAGATTCGACACAAAGTCGATGGAAGTGCGAATAGGAAGCTGATGGTAATGAAAGTCAGACAGACATCTAGCAGATGGGGGCACATGGGAGATAAAAACAACCAATCAATGCCTGCTCGAAAGCCAAAAGTTCAGGTAGAATACTACAGACGGTTACATGCGTGTGTGGATACAATACGTATCGATGAGGTGTCAACTGTATGTACGCAATCAAGTTGCTGAACGCGCACTGTGGCACGTACAAGGGAACGGCCACTGCTTCTTCCAAGGCTCGCTATTGTCGTCATCGTATCGCATGCACAGTATTGACATGCGCCAGCTCCACGGCGTCCGCACGTTCGGAGCCCCTGCCTTGTCTTAATTTTCTATCGTTTAAAGATTTAGCAGTGACGCTTATAGGTACTGGACACAAGATGGTGATATTTCCACACGTCACGTGAAGGATGGTATTGTTATACCGAACGTGCCGGTTGGGGTAAGACCCAATATCCCTGCAAGTCATGATGGAGAACGCGGCTTAGTATACTATCGGCTCATGATAGTATTGATCTCGGCAAACTTTGAAGAAGACTACAATGTTGAGAACACGGTCATTGCCCGCGCAGCTAAGATCTACTACGTTGCAATCGGGTGGTGTCTATTTGAACGTTTGCGCTACTTGACGGACGAGCGCGTGAATGGGGTGCTTGACTCTTCACCAGCGTGTCACTTATAAGCTCTGCATCTTATTCGCCCCAACTCGAAGGAACGCAAGGCCATAATCGTGCTTGATATGGCAGGCTATCGATAGGTAATGTTATGTTAAAACGAAACAATTCTTGAAAATGTCATTATTGTACGCGCTAAGTAATTTGGTGGATCGCCTTGAAAATTGGACGACTTTTTCGTTTTAATTTCTATAAAATACACGTTTGTCATTACATACCTGGAGTGATATGCCAGAGCAAGTTGGGATAGTGCTGCGTCCTAAGTTGCTCTGGCATATGACGGCTGATTAGGAGCCGCCGCAGTCGGTGTGAATATTTTACTACGTACAAAACTGCTGCGAGCAAGTGTAGCTGACTCTGGAGTACTTTATATTACCAATGACGGCTACAAAATTGTGCTATAAAAATTTAGGTACAATTGTTAATCATTACGATCGAGTACGTCTGGATGCTGGACAACTTATGGGGACGCTACAGCATGAATATATTCTACACTTTCGATTTCATATCAGCTATTGCCAATTGGGGAATACTATGCACTGCTGTCCTTATGGAGACACAGCGGCAACCTACCACTGGGAAAGTTCATAGACCTTGAAGTTTAGCTGTGTCGTAAGCGCCCGAAGACGGATCGCATTGACATGACGAGGCTGGATGTGAATTTTACTCTCGGTAAATCAGCGGGTCAGAAGCGAAACAGTTTAAGTGTTTTAAATTCAATTGCTCGTGCAAACTCCGGTGTCAACATGGCGTAAAATCTCTCAAGAAGTATCGCAATGCGTTTTGAACGACACCAGCTCGTCCCAGGATAGCTTGTCAATGTGCGGTGTGGAGCTTTGTGGCGATGAGCTTACCAAATTCGCGAGTAGCTCAATTGAAATATCTTGCGTAATATGTTCAGGTTCACGGATAACGCCAAAGCCATGATGTTAATCAAGTAGTTACTTGAGATTACAAGGTGTATGAAGAATAATGCAGCGATGGTACTCAAGAGGTGCATCGATCTATTAAAATAACTGAAGTTATAGACTCTAGTTAATCATGGTTGGCGCTTGCATATGTTTGACATGTTTTGATGTATATGGAATTATATAAATTAATACGGGTTTTAATCAACTGCTTATTTCAGGAATTGTACTTGCTGCATAACAGTTAATCACGTAGATCCCCTTCCATGTCCTACTTAAGTGATAATTTGTTTTGTAGATGTTACAAGCACCTCATCGCTTTTCATCCAATAAAAATGCATGAAATGGTAATTACTCTAATTTTCTAATACACTTCTAATTCTTACAATAAAGTAAAAGACGTTATGACAGAGACGACCGACCTTCTGTCATCTTTTTCACCATCCGTAAGTGATACAACTTCAAATCATATTCCAACTACTTTAGAGCCCAAGAAACAGGTTACAAAAGACCAAAGTGCCAAGCTTGTAATTTTATCTGTTAATGACGTGTATGATTTGGTTCCAAATGATCACGGACATGGGGGTATTGCAGAATTTGCAACACTGTTAGAGCAACATAAAGCAACAGTACCACAGGATGTGACCCTATTAGTCACACTGAACGGAGACTTTTTGTCTGGTTCGGAAATAGCCGAACGTTTTAAAGGGTGCGTTCGCTAGTCGATACAATTGCTCACTTACTAAATTGAATGTTTACTCTTGTATTGTGTATCATATAGAGAACACATCATTGAGTTAATGAATCATCTGAATATTGATTACGTCGTACTGGGCAATCACGAATTTGATTTTGGCACTGATGAACTCAAAGCACGCATGCGAAACTCGTCTGCGAAATGGTTTGGATCCAATGTGCTTGATTCGACATCAGGTGCACTATTTGAAGGTGTCGTGGATACAGAAATTGTTGATCTGAAAGACGGACTTAAGTTAGGAGTATTTGGTGTTTGCACGGAGGAAACCCCGACGTTGTCGTTTCCGGGTAATAGCGTCAAGTTTGAGAATATTTTTTCCACCTCTCGGCGGTGTGTTGACGCTTTAAAAGCTAAAGGAGCAGACTTCATCCTGGCACTTACACATTTGTCGATTACGCAGGATAAAAGACTTGCTCGCCAAGTACCTGGCATCGATTTGGTGCTTGGTGGACATGACCACGACCCGTTTACAATGTACGAAGGCAATACATTCATTCACAAATCAGGACAGAACGCTCTTTGGTTGGCAAAGCTCGAGTTTGAATTGAAGCGGTCAGCGAAATATCCCGAACGTGGACTTGTCGTCTTGCCGCAATGGAGTATGATTGCAAACGCATACCTGCCACCGCAGCCGGCGTGCCAGCAAATTCTTTACAAATACATGCGCCAAATGGAAAATGAAAATGATCCGGGAAAGAATGACTGTGTATTGGCTACCTTGGCAACTTCATTGTCAACGTGAACAGCACTTTTGCGAGCTGGAGAAAGCAATGGAGGTAACATCGCAGATGCTTTACGCAGTGAATTATACGCTGATGTGGGTTTTATCAATGGAGGCTTTATCCGAGGAGATAAGGAGTATTCCGCTAAGTCTAACATCACAGTCGGCATTTTGAAGCACGAGATGCCGTTTCCGCGGCCTGCTGTTCTTGTGCGAATTCAAGCTAGCGACCTACGTGACGCGTTAATTCAGCATTTGTGCAAATACCCGCAGCAGAGCGGCTCGCACCCTCATGTGTCTGGACTACGCTTGACCATCGACACGCATTCAGACCCCCCAGCGATTACTAAAATGGTAGACGTCAATGGCAGGCCGGTGGACATGAAAACGGAGCTCCTCGTGGCTACGTCCAAGTTTGTTGCTAGTGGCGGCGATGGCTGCACATCATGGCTAAAGGGAGATATTCTACGTGAGGCTGCTAAAGTTCACGAAGTCGTGGCCGACTTCATGATGAAAAAGCGGCTGCTGGCCTATCCGGAGCACGAAGGTCGCATCACAATTTTCGAGTGAAGATGAAGAAGTGATCAATCGATATAAATGGGCAATCCGTAAAGTAATTTGCGAGTTTGCTACCGGTGTCTGATGTCGATTTACTGTGGATCCCAGTCCAAGCCACCAGCACAATCGAATAACATATACATATAAAATAGCGGCCATAAACATAGTAGTGTCTAACGTCGCTGTAATTGCGCAAGCAAACCACCAGAGCGTGCCACTATTATTTTTTGTCTCATAGAACGTAGAGGATACATCACAACAATGAAGGTACACGAACTTTGTCCACGTACTCGGCTTTGAACACAGCTCAGATATCAGTGGCGCAATAAGCGACCGAGGGGATCCGTTTGGATGTGTTTACTTCCCCGCCAGCGCTCACTTTGGCATGCCAGCGGCAGCTACAATGCATGTACATAGCGATAAACAAGTACATGACCTGTGCAATTCTAGCAGCTGTGTCTGCAGCACTTACACGATTATCTGCGGTCAGATCGTCAGGTCGTTTGTAATTCCATGTTTATGTGTGATTTGAATAGTACAGCGCAAAAAGAAAGCCCTAGCCACAGTTTAGGAATGGTGCATGGCTGACTTTTATGCGAGGTATGGGTGCTACTTCAACTACCTGCAGTCGTCTGTTCTACACTGGACGTAATCCCATATTGAGGCCTCCAAATCACGAGAGTTACGGGAAGAAAGAAAAGGTCTGTCGTGCATCCAGCGTTTCTTCCAGCGCTCCGTCCACCGTTCCGTGCAGCGCTTACAACGATCACAACACTCGCTTACACGTGCGTCGCCGTCCGCAGACTTGTACACATGAAACGCGGCGCTTTAGAGCTGACGACGTCGTCTTTTTAGCTGCCTTAGCGCGTGCTAATTATTCTCGACATGTTTTATGTCCTACGTATTGTCGATAAGGATACGGCTCGCGATGTGCTCAATCCCTTGAGATACTTCCGTGGTACAGCTTGAAAGGGCGATAAGGGACAATACCCTCAGTGCAGAATAGCCAGTCGGGTTATGGATGTCTGGCCTTCCAACAATTTAACGTTCCGGCAGCCAATCGAGGTCTTATACAGCTCCCCACTTTAAACTTTTTGCCTGCCAGACCACTGTCACTTACATCAAGCATAACTCACGATGATGCTGCTTGTTTTTTTCGCGCTGGTCGCATGGTCGGCTGTGAGCGTGGCCTCCGCGATGCGTGAGGATACCATGCGCGCCACCTACGACTATGCTTCATTGAATACTACTCATCTTGACTTAAACATGAGCATGGGATCAAGTAATTTTGACGACAAATTTGAAGAGAGAACAATGGATATTGGCGACATCTTGAAGAGCTTTCAATCAGATATGTTTGAATCACTTGAAGGTTTGGATAAGCAAGACAATCTATCGCTATTTAATAATGTCAAGGTAAAAGTTTTTAAACTTCCCACTCAGTTTACCAGCAGACACTTATCCCCTTTGCGGAAATTAGTGGCGAAATTGTACGAGACTTTACCACATGTGGTAGATAATGCGATACTCAAGGTATTAGAACATAAATTGAAGAGTGAACATGCTCTTGCCAGTGCTCTGGTAATGAATAAGGATGATAAAAGTAAGGATCAGGTTGTTAAAAAACTGTTAGATTGTCAAGTCGATCAGTGGGTAAACGCCGAGAAAGATGAGGAAGAAGTATTCGAGCTTTTAGGGCTCAAGGAGAACAAAAAAATCCTTTTGAAAACCCAGTCTTTTTCCAGTGGAACGCTTTCGTAAAGGCTAAGTATCCAGCAAAAGAAATTGAGAAGGATGACCAGAGTATCATGACCGAACGAGCTAAGAAGATGTTTGACGTCTTTGCAAAACTTTACAAGGGCGATGATTTGACCAAGGTTCTGGTTGTGGGAGCAGAAAAGGGTGTTGGTCCGTCGAAAAACCTCGCTAGAAACCTGCTAGACTTTCAACTCGCGGAGTGGGTCCACGACGATAACATATCTGACAGAAAAGTTTTCGACCTTTTGCTGCTCCACGAGACGAAGGACAACCCTTTGAAAAGCCCGATCTTTTTTAAGTGGGTTAATTTCGTCGAAGAACGATACAAAAAGAAACTTGAGGTGATACTTGACGTACTATTATCTTATTTCAAGACCAAGAATGCTCTGATGCTTGCTCTAGATAGCGCAAACAAGGGGGGGAGAGCAAGGATGCTCTGGTAGATGTTCTAGATGGTGCAAACAAAAGGATGAGAAAGGATGCTCTGGTGGATGCTCTAGATAGCGCAAACAAGGAGGGGAAGAGCAAAGATGATCCTGTGGATGCTCTAGATAGCGCAGACAAGGAGGGAACGAGCAAGGATGCTCTGGTGAATGCTCAAGATGGCGAAAGCAAAGAGAGGAAATCTATTTTTACAAAATTGCAAGAAGCTTTGAAAACAAGATTGACGGCGAAACTTTTGACTCTGCAAAAAGCTTTGAAAAAGCGATCGCCGAAACCTTCGAAACCGCGGAGTTCTGACCTGGAAGAGCGTCCACCAATATTAACGCCAGCTATACCAGCAGAATCAGTATCAGCATCATTATCAGAGCCAGCATTAGCATCAACATCATCATCAGTGCCAGTTTTAGCACTAGAAGCACGACCGGAAGCACGACCAGAAGCACGACCAAAAGCACTAGCAGAAGCAGAAGCCCCTTCAAAATCCCCACGAGAAGCACCATCAGAAGCACCATCAGAAGCACCACCAGAAGCACCATCAGAAGCACCATCAGAAGCACGACCAGAAGCACGACCAGAAGCACTAGCAGAAGCAGAAGCCCCTTCAGAATCCCCACAAGAAGTTCCGTCAGAAGCACCACGAGAAGTTCCGTCAGAAGCACCACGAGAAGTTCCGTCAGAAGCACCACCAGAAGCACCATCAGAAGCACCACCAGACGCCCCACCAGACGCCCCACCAGAAGCCCCACCAGAAGCCCCACCAGAAGCCCCACCAGAAGTACCATCAGAAGCACGACCAGAAGCAGAAGCGCGACCAGAAGTTTCATTGAGCAAGCTACCGGTTGAAAGTTTCGACTCGGAAGAGCGTCCAACGGCGGAACGACAGAAAGGCCTCAACTTGAATGCGCTACCTGCTGAAAGTAACACCTTAAACGAGCTACCGACTGAAAGTTTGGACTCGAACGAGCTACCAGCTAAAAGTCTCGATTTGCTAAAGCTTCCACCGAAGAAACGGAAGATAACTCACGACATGAGCGAGCTACCGGCGAAACAGCAGAAAGGTTTGGAGTTGAACGAGCTACCAGCTGAAAGTCTCGATTCGTTAAAGCTTCCACCGAAGAAACGGAAGATAACTCACGACATGAGCGAGCTACCGGCGAAACAGCAGAAAGGTTTGGAGTTGAACGAGCTACCAGCTGAAAGTCTCGATTCGTTACAGCTTCCACCGAAGAAACGGAAGATAACTCACGGCATGAGGGAGCAAAAAGCTTGGACTTGAACGAGCTAGCAGCTGAAAGTATCGACTCGGTAGAGCGTCCTTTGGCGAAACGGCAAAAAGTTTTGGACATGAACGAGCTACCAGCTGAAGGTAACACCTTAAAGAAGTGACGTAAGAGGAGCTCAATGTGACGCTTGTGTTTCGTACTATTGGTGACGATATTGTAGAGGTTGTACAGGAATTGGATCTCCTTGTAGACGGTCACCACCTGATCGGACTTCCAACAATGGCAGACCATTTCCGTCTCAAGCTACAACCAAGTGCTCGTTGTGTTGCTACGTTCTACCGTGATGGATCTGAAGCTGACGACACGGCTTTAGCTTTGGGCACGCTCATCAAGGTACCATTCTCCACCAAGCTCGCGAAGGAAGGGGCCTACTCACCCAACAACTGAGAGTGATTTCCGAATACTAGTCTATCCAGGAGACGCCTGAAGGTATGCTTGAAGGTGCTAGTATACTGGCACTTCGTGACTACTAGGAGTGGTGGAGCGCCCACGCCGAAAATGGCCAGTATGGAAAATTGCTGCTTTTTGATGAAGAGAAGACAAGGCAGTGATGAACGGCGATGTCGCTGTCGTTTTGACTATCACGTCGAGGCAAAGCACTCTCACATTGTGGACATGCGTGACGTGCGTTCAGGAGCTTCTGTGGGCTTTGAAAAGAGTTGTGGGAAGTATTTATAGTGGATAGAGCTTTTGCAACCATCACGGAGTTAAAATTAATTCATTCGCTGTCCAAGATGTACACGGTGTAGCTTTGCTATGTCGACAGTGACTTGGGGCAGGAGAAACTTGACAGAGGTTTGTGTCTCAGACCTAGCTGATGATTTGCTTATTGTATTTTGCTTATCGCTTGCGCCAACCTTTTTCTTCGAGACCTCGTTTTCGGTGCTGCTTTTTCCTCTTCGAAGTCAGTTGTTCTTCCTCCTGCTCAACGATTCTCGTCTTTTCATTCCCCCCTTAGCGCCATCATCATCATCTTTTTTTCCGCGACTGAGAAAGAGCCTCACTACCGCCATGCTCTTCTTCGTTGCCATTACCCGTACTATCGGTGGCCGCCGCTGCTGCAGCAGCAGCAACTCGTCGTTTTTTGTTGACGTGAGCTGATACGTGTTGCTGGCAATAAGGGTCGACACCTGCGTGCCGGGGTATGTTTTGATGGAGACTTGGTCATTTTACTTTCTTCACGTAACTTCGTGTCCGCTTCAGAAGCAGAGGCGTCAAGACTTTCCAAGCCACTCACTTCCTTGCTCGCAGACGCAGCAGATACAGATGCGACGTGCATGCATTTTCGAAAGCTGCGCGAAGAAAGAGAGGGAGCTGCAGAACCCGTACTATCACTGGCAATACCCGTGCGTTTTCGGATTCGCTTTGACGCGCGTTGGTGTAAAACGATTCAGGGTCAAGAAATTCTTCGTTGGCTGTCTTACTTCTCGACGCGTGAGATTTAAAGCAGTGGCCTTCATTGCTTGATCATCGTTCTCGTCTGCGAAACTCTTTTCTACCATGTCGTTATTGCTTTCTCATTGCAAACAGCTTCGTTCTCTTCTTTACGAGCCGCAGCCTCTATTTCCGCTTCAGCGTCTTCGCAAAGTGCAGCAATTCCACACCCTTTCGTCTCGCTTCAGGCTACTCGCGATACTCTCCATCCGTCACCACATGCTGACAAAAAAGATAAATCGGTTCTGCAAACTGCATCCACTCAAAAATCACACCTTCTGCAACTCGATCCTTTATCTTTGTCAAGTTCACATGCTTCTCATCTTTTTCAGCCTACTTCTCTCCTTTTGTCAGTGTAAACATGGCTGGATCCATATCTTTGCTCTTTGCCACCAACAGAATCTTTGACAATAGATCCAGCAACATACTCATTCGTAACGTCTTTAAAACTCGCCATCGCAGTCTCCACCTCGTCCGTCTTCGCTTCGTTCTTTTTCACCCTATTTTTCTCTACCTCATTCTTCTCCACACTCTCTTCTTTCTCGACAACAATCTGCACAATCTCTTTCTCCTTAATCTCTATCTTTTTCTCTTTAACCTCCATTTTATTCTCTTCAATCTCTGTACGCTCTTCCAACTCTCCATTCTTCTTCTCTTCATTCTTCTTTTCATCTTCCATCATAGCATCCTTCTTCGCTTATATTGTCACCTTTACATCAGTAGCAGTACCATCTGTTCTAGGAGATGACGTCAGTGTGTCATCACTTGCTGACGATGACACATCACAATTGTCGAAATCTTCAAATCTTCTTCGAGGTCTCTTCCTCGGTCGTTTTCTCTCTTCTTTCACTCGTTCAATTGATGGATATATAACGTCTTGACATCTTAATCTTCTTCTTTCAAACTTTCTTTTTCTTCTTCTTGTTCTTCTTCTCGTCGTTTTGACGCTTTAAATTGATCCACAAGTGCCGCTAAATTCGATGCAATGGACGGGCCCAAACAGCAAAAAAAAGACCAAATGAAGCCTTTAAAAGAGGTGGTGTCCCCTGCAGTAACAGCTACTGCAAATTCTTTTGGAAGTTGAGGTTGAAGATTGCGACTTGCGATTAGTGTGAGCCGTCATCTGATCATGGATGGTCAATGCAAGTGGGTAGTAGACAAGTTGACTATCGACCATCTATATCGAGATGGTTGGATCACAGAATGTTTGGAGAAAGGAGACAGGTAGACAAAAAGACAAAGCAATCAATATACAGAATCTTATCGCCTTCCTACTGCAACAAGCTTACTTGTTAACAGGTAATGAGCCCAATGGCTAAAGAAACTGATGCGACTGCCAAGACATCAGAAGGTGTCGCACGATCTGCGCCAGGGCGTGTGTAACGAGGTTACACGACGGTTGTAGCGTCTTTCCGAGAGTTTACGGTTAAACTCCCTTTTGTATTGCATATAATGCATTATTATACTTCTCTTTAGAGAGGTATTAAGTATGAGCGTTAAGATACGGTATTCGGTAATACCGTATCTTATCGATTGAGATTCGATAAATCGATAACGCTGTACTAAGTACATCATACACAGATGTTTAGACGATACGTCGTCCAATAGCAAAGTCTGCATATAATAATTACTATTATAGTAATTAACCTAGTGTAGTGTACTTAGAGTAGGACTATTCATAAAATCTTAAAGCATAAATAAAATCAGTTCTCCTTTTGAGTTTAAGATCGCAAGTCGTTCTGACTTGTTCTCTTGTGCACTTCGTGCGTTGGTTCTCTGAACCTTAAAGCTTCTAGCTTGTTCTTGCACTCTGTGCGTTGGTTCTCTGAACCTTAAGCTTATTGCTTGCTGACTAAAAGTCTCTCCTACTTCCTTAGAACAGGGTGACTTTAAGTCGTTTAACTAGTTTCTTAGAGCTAAGTGGCTTTTAGCCTTAACTCTATTTAGTTCCCTAGAACTAAGAGGCTTCCAGCCGAAAGTCTTCCTCTGACTAAAGAGCTGTGCAGCTGCGCTACACTTGGTAGCACTTGTAGTCAATCCTACATATGAATCTTAAAGACTGACCCTCTGTGAGGATGGAGAATCAAAATCACCTTTCCGAGGCACAACGACTCGCCTTAGATAATATATCGGCGTTCGTCGGGCCCGATCAAATCGAGGCCCTTTTGGCCCAAGGCCCGAGGTTATAAATGCTCGTCTTGAGGCCTTTATGCGTTATGAAGCAACGCTCCTCGGTCAGGCCCATGACCAGGCAGCGTCAGCTGCGCCTACACAGTACATTCCAGTACCTGTGCCCGATGCAGAGCCAAAGGCTCGCCCACTTGTTTTAAATGTAAAGACCTTTGAGGGAAAGGAGGGAGAAAATCTTCTCCTCTGGATCCGAGAAGTTGAAATGGCAATGGTTGCCGCCATGCTTGTATCAGATAAGCAACGAGTTGGCTTGGCCATTTCGAAGCTCGGTGGAAGAGCTAGAGAGTGGGCTCTAACGAGCGATGTCTCTGTGATTGCTGCATTCCCCACCTGGGAAATGCTTAAAAAGCAATAAACTTGTGTGTTTGCACCGCCTAATCAGGCTTATCGTGTGCGCTCACGTTTCCTAGCTACCCGACAGGGTAAGAAAGAATTGTCGGACAATGTCCAAGAGTTGAGAACTCTCATTGCTGCTATGCAGCAGGACCCACTGGCAGAGGAAGTCCGAGTAACCATTTTTATGGAAGGACTTCGCACTGGGGTCGCCAGGACGGAAGTTTTCCGTGTCCAGCCTTCGACGTTCGAGGAGGCAGTAAGCATAGCGTTTAACGCTGAAATTAATTTTAAATCTGCTCGATATGGTCTGCCCTGGTATCAATTAAATACCTCTAACAGGGCGGAACCCATGGACCTCAGTCAAGCTGAAGAAGCTGAGCGTCAAGCTGCTGAGCAGCAAGGTAACATCCGTAGATGTTACATGTGCGAAAGCACTAGGCATCTCCGCCCTAGCTGTCCGTTGCGAAAGCAACGTTCAAATCGGCAGAGCCGAAACCCTGCTCCTAGCCAAAAGGCGAGCACGGCAGGGGAAAACGTCAACTCCCAGTAGGCACGGGGCGCCCTACTGGAAAAGAACTAAATTCTGTTAGATCTTTAGGAGGTAAAGGTAAACAGGGCTTAGCCCCAGGTGGTTCTGTGGATGCTCCCATAGAACAAGATTACAAGCCAGGCTTGTTGGTTGTGTCGGCAACTGTTAAGAGTTTTGAGAAACCATGGTCAATTTTAATTGACTCAGAGGCGTCAGGTAATTATGTCCGACGTCGTTCCCTTGAAGGGAGTCAGCTTTATGCTGAGGCGCTAGAAGCGCAAGAGGGTCACAGTATAATTGTGCGTCTCGCAACAGGTGTACGTGTCACCGTTCCTAAAGTTCCGTTGAACTTAGGTGTGAAGTTCTTAGACTTCAATAGCGTTGAACGCTGTCTTGTCCTAGATTTGGACTCGAGATATGATCTCATTCTCGGTATGTCCTGGCTGGAACGCCATGAGCCGTGGATCGATTGGAGATCCAAAACTTTAGGCGCAACGCGCAATGTTCCTAGCGAAGCTTTGGAGAGTCATGAACCCACCTTCGCTAGAAAAAAAAGTGCTATTGGCGCGAGCCATTAACTGATTCAGTTAGTGTGCTGGACATTGGATTGTCTGAGCTGATAAACTCCGATGTCAACAATAATAGTGTCGAACAGAGCTCAATGACACTTAGTGGAACGGCACGTACTCCGTTGAGTGATACTCAAATTAATATTGAGACACTAGATGTCGGTAATGACATCGGCTCTCGTATAGAGCAAGTGAAGGTCTATGACCTTGTTAGTGATATTGGCTGTAAATGCGATTCACTGGATGTCGGTAATGACATCGGCTCTCGTATAGAGCAAGTGAAGGTTGATGACCTTGTTAGTGAGGTCACTGGTACTAGTGACTCACTGGATGTCGGTAATGACATCGGCTCTCGTATAGAGCAAGTGAAGGTTGATGACCTTGTTAGTGAGGTCACTGATACTAGTGACCCACTGGATGTCGATATTGACATCGGCCCTCGCATAGGGCAGTTGAATGTCAAGGGATCGGTTGACCTTGGGGATGATGACTTTGAAGAGTACGGTCTCGTCAATGAGACGGCAGCGTCGCCAGATGGCGGCTGCGAGACGCAAAGCGTCTGTTTTATCGCATAGTAATGTCAGTGACTAGTTGTACACCCTGGTCAACGGAGTGACAGGTGATGTAGATGGTGAGGTTGAACTTGAGGCCCTCCCATCACTAAATGTTTTTTTAGAGCTAGACGAAATGTCTGTGGATGAATTTCATCAGGCCTTGAAGGCAGGTGCTCTATCCGATATGGTGGTCATTCGACCTAACCTCGAGCTGAACTCATCCTCGCTTGTCGATGAGACAGTCCTTGAAGATACAAAAGCGGCACTAAGTGCACGTAGTGGGACATCTATTCTGAAGGACCCTTCAGATCCCTACTATCCTTTAGTAAAGGAGTTCCAGGACGTGGTGTGTCACGATCCACCGTCGGTTCTACCACCTGATAGGGGTGTACGTCATGAAATTGACTTGGTTCCCGGAACCAAATACTGCGTAACACGGCAGTGGCCTTTACCAAAAGAACAGTGTGACGTCATTGACGAGTTCTTTCGTGCAAAGCACGCGGCGGGCATGGTGCGCGAGAGTAAATCTCCGCACTCGACACCCACTTTCTGTGTTAAGAAACCGAATGGTAAATGGCGTATCGTTCATGCTTATAATAAGCTCAATGCAGCCACTATACCTGCACAGACGCCAATACCTAGAAAGGATGTTCTTCAGAACAATATGGTCGGTTGTACCATGTACAGTGCGCTCGGCTTAGTCGATGGTTATTATCAATTGCTCATGCGAGCTAGTGATATTCCGCTTAATGCTGTTAGTACTCCGAGCGGTATGCTCTGGGAGTGGTTAGTGATGACCCAAGGGCTATCTATTGCTCCGGCTACGTTTAACCGGTTGGTGACGCACTTGTTTCGACCCCATCGAAGTTATGCACAGACGTACTTCGATGACATTTTTGTCCATAGTCGAGCTGAACATGGGCGGTCAGATATTGAGAACCATATTGTTCATTTACGAGCTGTGCTCGAGTTATATGCTAATGCATCTAAGTGCATCTTCGGGACCGAAGAGATTCCCTTTCTAGGGTGCTTCATTGGGAAACGGGGCCTACGAGCGGATCCCGCCAAGATCAAAGCCATAGTCGATGGGGCTGTTCCACAGTCTCAGAAGGACTTGCGTAAATGGCTTGGCCTTGCCAATTACTTACACAAGTACAGCGAGAATTACGCTGATATGGCTCGGCCGTTATCCAATCTCCTTAAAAGGATGTGGAATGGTGTTGGCACGCCGAACACGAGGATGCTATTCAAGCGGTGAAGGATAGCCTTTTTCATGATCCTATTTTGGCTTTGCCAGACCCTGATCGACCGTTTAGCGTCGTCTGTGACGCGTCGGATTTTGCCATTGGCAGTGCTCTGTTACAAACAGATGATGAAGGCCGTGAGCGCGTAATCGCTTTTGAATCTCGCCAGCTGAAAGCTGCAGAAAAGAACTATTCAGTTCATGACAAAGAGCTACTTGCGATGAAGTATGCTCTTGTCAAATTCAGAGTTCATCTGCTGGGCTCAAAGCCTTTTGTGATCTATACCGATCATGCGTCGTTACGCACTGCGACTCAGTCGCCGCATCTCTCGCAGAGAATGGCCAGATGGCTGTCATTCTTTGCCGAATATAATTTCGAGGTGAAGTATGAGCCTGGCAAGGAAAATGCTTTGGCTGATGCGTTGTCACGCAGACCTGACTATGAGCTTGCTCATGTTACGAAGTTGTCGTCTTCGATCTTTGATCTAATTCGTACAGCTTACGTTGAAGACTATCATTGTGTAGGCTTTTGGCAGTGACGAGTTAAATAATCGGACATTAAATTGTCGGCACGATTACGTGCGAGCCTTCATCGATATTCTATCGATGAGGGGCTGTTGTACTATCGTAAAGATGTAGCGGATCCTCCGCGTATTGTGGTTCTTCATGACGAGGATCTGAGGTATCGTATTCTCTAAGAGGTACATGACACCGCCATCGGGGGTCATTTGGGTCGTGAAAAGACCTATGGGGCAGTATGCCAAAGTTATTGGTGACCCAAATTATATAAATGGGTGAACACATATGTGCGTACGTGTAAAACGTGTCAACGGGTGAAACCCTCGCCCCATTCGGCAGCGCCGCTGGCTAGTTTGCCTATTCCCACTGGGTGCTGGGAGTCCATTAGTATGGACTTTGTATTTGGCCTACCGAAAGATTCGCATGACAATACAGGTATTGTGGCCTATGTTGACCGCTTGAGCAAGATGGCTCACTTAGCGGCTGTGCCAGATTCGATCGATGGTGTGGGTACAGCGGAGATGTTTATCGATCGTGTGTTTCGCCAACATGGCTTGCCAGTGGCAATTGTTTCTGATCGTGATCCTCGTTTCACGAGTAAATTTTGGAAGTCCGTCTTCCAGGTGCTGGGGACCCGTTTGGACATGTCCACAGCAGATCATCCGCAGACTGATGGTCAAACCGAACGCGTGAATCGCGTTGTTGAAGATATCCTACGCAGCGTTTGTGCTGAAACACCTAAGCGATGGAGCGCTATGCTCCATGTAGTTGAGTTTGCACTCGATAATTTCGTGCACGCCTCTACCGGCTACACTCCATTCTATGTCAATGGTCTCACACACCCACGCGTTCCGTTAACGCTACCACCGAGTGGTTCAGGGCTTGGTGGGGGAGAGGTTGCCGATCGGCTTGCTGATGTCAGCCCTAATACTGTTAAGAAACAGGCAAATGCGTTTCTCGCAACGCCACTAAATGTCTTACGACATGTGCAAGATGCAATGGCTGATAGTCAAGATAAACAAAAGGAATATGCAAATGCGAAAGGCAGAGGTTGTATTAATGATTATGAGGTCGGAGATCAAGTATTATTGAATGCTAAAAATCTACCTACCAATGTAGTATCCGCTGTCTTTAAGACGAAGTTGCGTCCGCGCTTTATCGGACCCTTTACGGTCATTGCCAAGAAAGGCACAGCGTATACGCTTAATTTGCCGTGCAAATTGCGTACACATCCTGTGTTCTACGTCGGCATGCTGAAACCATATCGGGATCCGTCCTAAATAGACGCTAAGGCGCTTGCGCCGAGCCCATTGGCATTGTCGCGGGACGAAGCATCTGCGCCAACATGTCAAGCTGACCCTGCACTCGGATTCGACTCTCTTCCAGGGACTCGAGGCGATAATTAATCGAATGCACAGTCTCACGGAGAGACTGCACCTCTTGAGGTAGCTCGGCATGAGCTTGTGTCGGTATACCGTCCCCCTCCGGCTTTGCTTGATGGACAGGGGAACCTTCAGTTCCATGTTGAATGCTGTTGCAGAAACGTCGCCGCCGTGGTCAAAACCAGTATCTGGTGAAGTGGCAGGGTTATCCCGAGTCGTGGAATTCATGGGAGCTTGAGACTACCCTTCGGCAGGACTGCCCATACGCCGTGGACGTTTTTGAGCGTCGTGCGCAGGGTTTGCCTGTTGGCGCTGACGCTTCTCACCAGTAATGGTGAGGGTAGGCGGGTTAGCGACCTTGGCCTGTCGTGGACTCGCGGCTACAGGGGTAGCCGAAACATTGGGCTGCTGGGTAGCAGACGCATAATGCGTTCGTTGAGACTTCAATTTTCCCCGGGCCTTCAATTTAGCTTAATCGTAACGCATCTTCCGCTCGAGTCGAACATCTGCCACATCGGCGCTTGCCCTAGGACCCACATGCTGCTTAAACGTCGCGCATAATGCGCCCAGCGGCTGAAAGCCGTGTCTTCTTCGTCCTTGGTTTCCCCCGCGAACAGAAGGATGGGAACACCCTTTATTGGAGGAACTGGCGCACCGCGCACTTTCCTGTTAAGGCGTGCCAAGTATTGGCTTTGTGTAGTGATGTGGGGTTCCAGATATTGTTGTCGAAGTGCCGTGCGCGTGGCAGCATCCTCAGGTGAAATGGCCTCAGGCCCAATGGTTATACTAAAAAGGGAATGCCCAGACGCTTTCTTTAGGCGTTCTATCACCGTAGGTGGCTTAAACCTGTACTGTCGGTGGTCCTGCAGTCTCGTCATATTCTTCGTCCGGCGCTTGGCGCCTTCCTCTTGGTCGATGGTCTGCTGTTGCCGCTCGTCGAGTGGGTTGGTAACCGTTACCGTTGATGATACGTCAGGCGGGTCACGTAACGCTGTTAGCGCATCTGCAGCACCACGTTCAGGGAACGGATTCGGTGGATTCGATGACTAGTGTCATCTTCACCCGTGAGGGTTGCTTAAGGCGATCCATCAGGTCCCACAAAGACGGTGTCACTTTCGTAATCAACCGCTTCGTCAGGGTCACCTTTGATAAGGTTCCGTAGAGTCTGTGACTCACTGCCAGGAGGCGTCATGCTGTGTGATGTGAACAAACCGTGAGGTTTTAAGTGTTCGATAAAGCACTACCTCTATGAGGAAAATTGTCGAGTGACATTCTATGGGAACGTCAGTCTGGTGGGGGAGGGTGTAACGGGGTTACACGACGGTTGTAGCGTCTTTCCGAGAGTTTACGGTTAAACTCCCTTTTGTATTGCATATAATGCATTATTATACTTCTCTTTAGAGAGGTATTAAGTATGAGCGTTAAGATACGGTATTCGGTAATACCGTATCTTATCGATTGAGATTCGATAAATCGATAACGCTGTACTAAGTACATCATACACAGATGTTTAGACGATACGTCGTCCAATAGCAAAGTCTGCATATAATAATTACTATTATAGTAATTAACCTAGTGTAGTGTACTTAGAGTAGGACTATTCATAAAATCTTAAAGCATAAATAAAATCAGTTCTCCTTTTGAGTTTAAGATCGCAAGTCGTTCTGACTTGTTCTCTTGTGCACTTCGTGCGTTGGTTCTCTGAACCTTAAAGCTTCTAGCTTGTTCTTGCACTCTGTGCGTTGGTTCTCTGAACCTTAAGCTTATTGCTTGCTGACTAAAAGTCTCTCCTACTTCCTTAGAACAGGGTGACTTTAAGTCGTTTAACTAGTTTCTTAGAGCTAAGTGGCTTTTAGCCTTAACTCTATTTAGTTCCCTAGAACTAAGAGGCTTCCAGCCGAAAGTCTTCCTCTGACTAAAGAGCTGTGCAGCTCAGCTACAGCGTGGCTCGTCAGCGTGGCTCGTCAGCGTGGCTCGTCAGCGTGGCTCGTCAGCGTGGCTCGTCAGCGTGGCTCGTCAGCGTGGCTCGTCAGCGTGGCTCGTCAGCGTGGCTCGTCAGCGTGGCTCGTCAGCGTGGCTCGTCAGCGTGGCTCGTCAGCGTGGCTCGTCAGCGTGGCTCGTCAGCGTGGCTCGTCAGCGTGGCTCGTCAGCGTGGCTCGTCAGCGTGGCTCGTCAGCGTGGCTCGTCAGCGTGGCTCGTCAGCGTGGCTCGTCAGCGTGGCTCGTCAGCGTGGCTCGTCAGCGTGGCTCGTCAGCGTGGCTCGTCAGCGTGGCTCGTCAGCGTGGCTCGTCAGCGTGGCTCGTCAGCGTGGCTCGTCAGCGTGGCTCGTCAGCGTGGCTCGTCAGCGTGGCTCGTCAGCGTGGCTCGTCAGCGTGGCTCGTCAGCGTGGCTCGTCAGCGTGGCTCGTCAGCGTGGCTCGTCAGCGTGGCTCGTCAGCGTGGCTCGTCAGCGTGGCTCGTCAGCGTGGCTCGTCAGCGTGGCTCGTCAGCGTGGCTCGTCAGCGTGGCTCGTCAGCGTGGCTCGTCAGCGTGGCTCGTCAGCGTGGCTCGTCAGCGCGAGTGCCCTCGTCTGTGAACACGCCGGCAGCCGTCGAAGAACCGTCCGCCCGCGAAAGAGGCGAGGCGACTGATGAAAAGAGATTCGCGGCCCTCGCCGCAGACTGACCGCCTGGCAAAGCTCGAGTCTTCGCAGCGCGTTTGGTACGAAGACAAGAGGATGCTTGGAGCTTCGAGAGCGGCATGTTGCGTCCAAGCTTGGAGCGAACATGCGTGGACGCCCCATGGCCATAGACGCGCTTGGGCCGCTGAAGGAGAAGCTAGAAGCACCTCGCGTGCGCGCTCGTTGCCCTGATAAAGGCGAGTCTAAGAACGCCTCGCTCGCGCCGCCGCGCGGACAGCCGTCAACTCAGTATTGCATGTCGGCACGAGCAATCGAGCCTATGGCCGCACCGCGTCAAGAAGCGCCGCCACCTGCGACGCAAACGGCGGCAGCGATAGGAAACTACGTAATGCACACCCCGAGTCAGCGAAAACTCAACAGTCGCACATTCGATGGGACGGAGCTTTACAAAGGGCTCGGGAGCGGGTTCTTTAATTTGGGGACGCACCTTCATGCGCGCCGTGAGCCTCGCTGAAGCGATGTGTGGATTCTCGTGGACGGAGGACGTGAAGGACCCCTGCATCATAACATTACAATAATATTATAATATATGTGCTAGCAAACCCCTTCGACCATGCGTAGATATAATCGAGATGGCAAACTGACATGGCGCGGATTGTATAGGAGTAGTAAGAGACGCAAAATAGAGTGTTGAGCCTGGAGAACATTACGTTGTGCACGAGGCTGTTTCCAAACGGTTCCTATCTTGACGATATTGAAGGCGTGCCATTAACAAGTGACAAAGACAAAAAGTAGATTGCCTACCTGATTGTGTGTTTCTACAAAGCAGCATGTCAGCGTTCATGTACGCGTACCATACATGTACTGGTGGACAATTGGATTTCTAGCGATTAATAGTTTTTGTCTCTCAGGTTCAGCCAAATCAAAGCTGGTAAAGAGGATAATGTGGTATTTCAAGTTATGCTCAAACATAACTCCAGCCAGTTATACCGTTTTCTTTAATTGTGATGGCGACTGAGAAACGGCGCAATATGGTGCTGCATTTTGAATTGAACCGCCCTGTCATCATGTCGGATGCTGCTGGTGGTTGTAGCACGTTCGGTTGCCGTGCCAAAGAACCTGTTCTCAGTACTGCGTTGCCCAATGGATGATAAAGAGGCTTTGGAGCTACGATTGAGCCTGGTATCAGCCTGCAAAAGAGTATGCTCCCGTTCTCGTGTCCGACAATCACTTTGAGACGTGATGCAAAAGCTCCATTTACTTGACGGAAAACAACATGAAGCTACCAAGCAATTGGCTGTAACGTATCCAAGTCTCGACTACAGGAAGCGTGGAGTCAAGGACGGTACTACTTGTTGCCATCATTTTGCAATTTCTATCTTACTTTACGTCCCTCGAAGTGACGTAAGAGGAGCTCAATGTGACGCTTGTGTTTCGTACTCTTGGTGACGATGTTGTAGAGGTTGTACAGGAATTGGATCTCCTTGTAGACGGTCACCACCTGATCGGACTTCCAACAATGGCAGACCATTTCCGTCTCAAGCTACAACCAAGTGCTCGTTGTGTTGCTACGTTCTACCGTGATGGATCTGAAGCTGACGACACGGCTTTAGCTTTGGGCACACTCATCAAGGTACCATTCTCCACCAAGCTCGCGAAGGAAGGGGCCTACTCACCCAACAACTGAGAGTGATTTCCGAATACTAGTCTATCCAGGAGACGCCTGAAGGTATGCTTGAAGGTGCTAGTATACTGGCACTTCGTGACTACTAGGAGTGGTGGAGCGCCCACGCCGAAAATGGCCAGTATGGAAAATTGCTGCTTATTGATGAAGACAAGGCAGTGATGAACGGCGATGTCGCTGTCGTTTTGACTATCACGTCGAGGCAAAGCACTCTCACATTGTGGACATGCGTGACGTGCGTTCAGGAGCTTCTGTGGGCTTTGAAAAGAGTTGTGGGAAGTATTTATAGTGGATAGAGCTTTTGCAACCATCACGGAGTTAAAATTAATTCATTCGCTGTTCAAGATGTACACGGTGTAGCTTTGCTATGTCGACAGTGACTTGGGGCAGGAGAAACTTGACAGAGGTTTGTGTCTCAGACCTAGCTGATGATTTGCTTATTGTATTTTGCTTATCGCTTGCGCCAACCTTTTTCTTCGAGACCTCGTTTTCGGTGCCGTTTTTTCCTCTTCGAAGTCAGTCGTTCTTCCTCCTGCTCAACGTTTCTCGTCTTTTTATTCTCCTCATCATCATCTTCTTTTCCGCGACTGAGAAAGAGCCTCACTATCGCTATGCTCTTCTTCGTTGCCATTACCCGTACTATCGGTGGCCGCCGCTGCTGCAGCAGCAGCACCTCGTCGTTTTTTGTTGACGTGAGCTGATACGTGTTGCTGGCAATAAGGGTCGACACCTGCGTGCCGGGGTATGTTTTGCTGGAGATTTGGTCGTTTTACTTTCTTCACGTAAATTCGAGTCTACTTCAGAAGCAGAGGCGTCAAGACTTTCCAAGCCACTCACTTCCTTGCTCGCAGACGCAGCAGATACAGATGCGACGCGCATGCATTTTCGAGAGTTGCGCGAAGAAAGAGAGGGAGCTGCAGAACCCGTACTATCACTGGCAATACCCGTGCGTTTTCGGATTCGCTTTGACGCGCGTTGGTGTAAAACGATTCAGGGTCAAGAAATTCTTCGTTGGCTGTCTTACTTCTCGACGCGTGAGATTTAAAGCAGTGGCCTTCATTGCTTGATCATCGTTCTCGTCTGCGAAACTCTTTTCTACCATGTCGTTATTGCTTTCTCATTGCAAACAGCTTCGTTCTCTTCTTTACGAGCCGCAGCCTCCATTTCCGCTTCAGCGTCTTCGCAAAGTGCAGCAATTCCACACCCTTTCGTCTCGCTTCAGGCTACTCGCGATACTCTCCATCCGTCACCACATGCTGACAAAAAAGATAAATCGGTTCTGCAAACTGCATCCACTCAAAAATCACACCTTCTGCAACTCGATCCTTTATCTTTGTCAAGTTCACATGCTTCTCATCTTTTTCAGCCTACTTCTCTCCTTTTGTCAGTGTAAACATGGCTGGATCCATATCTTTGCTCTTTGCCACCAACAGAATCTTTGACAATAGATCCAGCGACATACTCATTCGTAACGTCTTTAAAACTCGCCATCGCAGTCTCCACCTCGTCCGTCTTCGCTTCGTTCTTCTTCACCCTATTTTTCTCCACCTCATTCTTCTCCACACTCTCTTCTTTCTCGACAACAATCTGCACAATCTCTTTCTCCTTAATCTCTATCTTTTTCTCTTTAACCTCCATTTTATTCTCTTCAATCTCTGTACGCTCTTCCAACTCTCCATTCTTCTTCTCTTCATTCTTCTTTTCATCTTCCATCATAGGATCCTTCTTCGCTTATATTGTCACCTTTACATCAGTAGCAGTACCATCTGTTCTAGGAGATGACGTCAGTGTGTCATCACTTGCTGACGATGACACATCACAATTGTCGAAATCTTCAAATCTTCTTCGAGGTCTCTTCCTCGGTCGTTTTCTCTCTTCTTTCACTCGTTCAATTGATGGATATATAACGTCTTGACATCTTAATCTTCTTCTTTCAAACTTTCTTTTTCTTCTTCTTGTTCTTCTTCTCGTCGTTTTGACGCTTTAAATTGATCCACAAGTGCCGCTAAATTCGATGCAATGGACGGGCCCAAACAGCAAAAAAAAGACCAAATGAAGCCTTTAAAAGAGGTGGTGTCCCCTGCAGTAACAGCTACTGCAAATTCTTTTGGAAGTTGAGGTTGAAGATTGCGACTTGCGATTAGTGTGAGCCGTCATCTGATCATGGACGGTCAATGCAAGTGGGTAGTAGACAAGTTGACTATCGACCATCTATATCGAGATGGTTGGATCACAGAATGTTTGGAGAAAGGAGACAGGTAGACAAAAAGACAAAGCAATCAATATACAGAATCTTATCGCCTTCCTACTGCAACAAGCTTACTTGTTAACAGGTTATGAGCCCAATGGCTAAAGAAACTGAAGCGACTGCCAAGACATCAGAAGGTGTCGCACGATCTGCGCCAGGGCGTGTGTAACGGGGTTACACGACGGTTGTAGCGTCTTTCCGAGAGTTTACGGTTAAACTCCCTTTTGTATTGCATATAATGCATTATTATACTTCTCTTTAGAGAGGTATTAAGTATGAGCGTTAAGATACGGTATTCGGTAATACCGTATCTTATCGATTGAGATTCGATAAATCGATAACGCTGTACTAAGTACATCATACACAGATGTTTAGACGATACGTCGTCCAATAGCAAAGTCTGCATATAATAATTACTATTATAGTAATTAACCTAGTGTAGTGTACTTAGAGTAGGACTATTCATAAAATCTTAAAGCATAAATAAAATCAGTTCTCCTTTTGAGTTTAAGATCGCAAGTCGTTCTGACTTGTTCTCTTGTGCACTTCGTGCGTTGGTTCTCTGAACCTTAAAGCTTCTAGCTTGTTCTTGCACTCTGTGCGTTGGTTCTCTGAACCTTAAGCTTATTGCTTGCTGACTAAAAGTCTCTCCTACTTCCTTAGAACAGGGTGACTTTAAGTCGTTTAACTAGTTTCTTAGAGCTAAGTGGCTTTTAGCCTTAACTCTATTTAGTTCCCTAGAACTAAGAGGCTTCCAGCCGAAAGTCTTCCTCTGACTAAAGAGCTGTGCAGCTGCGCTACACTTGGTAGCACTTGTAGTCAATCCTACATATGAATCTTAAAGACTGACCCTCTGTGAGGATGGAGAATCAAAATCACCTTTCCGAGGCACAACGACTCGCCTTAGATAATATATCGGCGTTCGTCGGGCCCGATCAAATCGAGGCCCTTTTGGCCCAAGGCCCGAGGTTATAAATGCTCGTCTTGAGGCCTTTATGCGTTATGAAGCAACGCTCCTCGGTCAGGCCCATGACCAGGCAGCGTCAGCTGCGCCTACACAGTACATTCCAGTACCTGTGCCCGATGCAGAGCCAAAGGCTCGCCCACTTGTT